ATTATTACTAGACCTAATACAATGTAATAATTTTAAAGATAAAATCAAGTGAGGAAAAAGAAGAAAAAATAGTTTCTTGAGTACATGTTACAAATAATGAAAACAAACAAAAAAAACAAATTAAAAAATTAAAAAAATAATAATAAAATTTAAAAAAATTAAATTAAATTTGCAGTAATGTAAGTCATCCGCTTCCTCTATTGATACATTCCTGATTTTTAAGCAGGTTTTGCTTTGTTTTTATTACATTAGAGTCAATTTGTGAATTAGCCTCTGGGTGGCAGTGTTTCTAGGTTGACTTCCCAGGCTCCAAAACCTCTCCAGCTTTTTTTTCCCCTGGGGCAGGATCAATGAAGGGGGATAGGGGGCAAGTCTGACCCAAGTGCAATCTCCCACAACCCTCCGATATGCCTCTGAGCCAGATCCAAATATGTTGCTCTTTATATATCTCCCGTTAGGAGCCCTGTCCACTTTCACGGTGACACCCACCCAACAGCCGGGGCTTCTACTTGTAAGCACTGCCCCTGTCCTCCAGTTTCTGTGCGCCCTATGTGCACCTGTCTTTGTCTTCTCCACAAGCACTCACTCACCCTCTTGCAGAGAAGTTTGACCTTTTCACTGTGTGGTGGGACACTCCTGTGAGCCCAAGTGTTCGCACCACCTGGGATCAGTGTTCTGGGGGTCACAGCTGCTTGGTGGTCACTGTGGCTGTGAATATTCAGGCCTCTGAGAAATCCAATCTTCCTCTCAAGATGGTGAGGTTTCCCTGTCCAAGCCAGTAGGTAGTACCGGGAAGGGAAGTAGCCTTGCGTGGGTGCTTCCCTGTCAGTGGTCCCCCAGCAGTTTCTTCTGGTAGTTCAGTAGGCTAAAGTTCAAGATCAGGGGCAGCATGGTCCGTTTCTGAAAGAGCTCTCTTACTGCCTTGCAAATAGTCACCTTCTTCCTGTGTCCTCACCTAGGCTTCCTGCTCCAAAAACATTTTTTTTAAAAAAAGACATCAGACAAACTCATGGAGCTGGAACCTTGGGGAGTGTGTCAGCAAAGTCTCTAGGGCTGGCAACCAAAACTGATTTTTCAGAGAAATGAAGTTTGTCATTAAGATGTTAGACAACTCATGGAATCTCTGGGGAGGGTAGAGAACTGGGCTCAGAGAGGAACAAAGGAAGCTAAGCATTCAGAACCCAGTCAAGGCATGCCGCAGGGCGATGCCAGTGAGGATATCGTTGTGCCCTATTTTTATTTTCTTAATCTTTTACTTAAGAAATAATTTTTTTTTCTTTTTTCCTCACTCAATTTTACATTTTTGATTATTACATTTTTATTTTCAATCAGTATTATTATTACTACTATTTTAACTTTTTATTTTTTTAAGTGTCATTTTATTTTCACTTTACTTTACTTTGGGATTACTGTTCTATATTCTATCTTCATCTTTCCTATTGCATTGTTTTACTCTATCTCAAGTCTACCATTATGCCATCACTATCTTCCTAACATTTCCCCTTTTGGTGACCTTTCTCTTACTCTTTTCCTGCTTTAGATTTTCCCTATTCTTTCTGTTTACCCCCTGTTAAAATTTCACCCGGCTTATATATCTAATTTCCAATCCCCTGTTCCAAGTCCATACACACTTCTCTATTCTCTGTCTTAACTATACAAAAAATTATTTTTCTCTCTGTCATTATGCTGTTGTGTGCTTGAATGTTGATTGTACTGATTCTTTATACTTGTTTGTGAGATTGTTTTGCTAATTCTTTTTTTGTTTGTTTTATTTTTGTTTGTGTTTTGGTTCTGTTTTCCCTTGCCTCACTTGATATTAGTTGTTGTTTGTAGTTTGTAATAATCCCCAAGTACTTGTTGCTCAAACTTGGTAGGATTATAGGCTGTTCTCTTGGAGTTTTCTCCCCACATATATAGTTTGTTCCCCTTTCCTTTCTTACTCTCTTTTCTCTCTTACTTTTTTTTTCCTTTTCTGAAATACATTTTGGCACTCTTTTTTTTTTTTTTTTCCTTTTTTCTTTTTCCTCTTCTACTTTTTCTCCTATGCCCTAATTTGCCTTTCTCTGATGGTCACCTTTATTGGGGGTTATTAATATTGTGAATACAGTTCTGTTCAGTGCCTTGTGCTTTGTACCTGCTTGCGTTGTATTTTGAGCCTTTAAATCAAGGAAGGAGAGAGAGAACAACATAACCAGACATCCAGAGAACAGAGACCCTGGGGAGACAAAGAAACAGTCCACATATGAAATAAAAGCAGGCATCAACAGAAAAGGAAGTAAACAAAATAGAAACTAGCAAACATGTCAGAGAAAGAATTCAAAGACATGGTCATAAGGTTGCTGAAAAGAATGGAAGACAAATTCAATAATATGAGGAAGAGCCAAGAGGAAATGAAGAAGAACGGAGAAGAAATGAAAAATGATATCTCTGCCATAAAGAACTCAATAGGATGCATCAAGAGAAGACTAGAAGAAGCAGAGTACTGCCTCAGTGAACTAGAAGACAAGGTGGGAAAAAATACCCAATATAGCAGCTTCTAGAAAAAAATAATATAAAAAGCATGAGGACAGCCTAAGGGAACTTTGGGACTACACTAAACAAAACAACATCTGCATAATGGGGGTTCCAGAATGAGAGAAAACTGAGCAAGGAATAGAAAACATGTTTGAAGAAATAATGACCAAAAAAAATTCCCTATATAGGGGGAAAAATGCACACAAATTCAAGAAGCTCTCAGAGTCCCAGGCAAAATGAACCTCAAAGATCAATGGCAATGCACATTATAGTTAAACTGGAAAACACCAACGAAAAAGTCAGAATCTCAAAAGCAGCCAGAGAGAGACAGAAAGTTGCATACAAAGAAATCCCCATCAGACTAGCAACTGATTTCTCAACAGAAACACATCAGGCCAGAAGGGAATGGAATGAAATATACAAAGTCATGCAAAGGAAGGGTCTGAATCCAAGAATATTGTACCCAACAAGGCTATCAATCACACTTGAGGATGAAATCAGGATCTTCACAAACAGAAAAGAACTAAGGGAATTTATCACCACTAAATGAGCAATGCAAGAAATGCTAAATGGTCTGCCGTAAAAAAGAATATAGGAAGCGAAGAAGGAACACAGGGGTAAAGAATAAGAATTGTGTCAAATAAGTACCTATCAATAATAACATTAAATGTAAATGGATTAAATGCCCCAATCAAAAGACACAGGATAATGGATTGGATAAGAAAACAAGACCCATATATCTGCTGTCTATAAGAAACCCACCTCGGAACAAAAGACAAACACAGATTGAGGGTGAAGGGATGGAAAGAAAGGTTTTCCAGGCAAATGGAAATGAAAAAAAAGCTGGGGTAGAAATACTTATATCTGACAAATTAGATCTCAAAGTGAAGGACATAAGAGATAAGGAAGGGCACTTCATAATACTAAAGGAAGCAATCCATCAAGAAGAACTAACTCTGGCAAACATATTTGCACCCAATACAGGAGCACCCAAATACATTAAAAACAAAACAAAACTCCGGGAGGACATTAATGGAGAGATTGACAGCAATACATTCATATTAGGAGATTTTAACACCCCACTATCACCTCTAGACAAATTCTCTAAACAAAAAATCAGCAAAGAAACATCAAGAAAGTAAATAATATAGATCAGAGCGAAGATAAATGACATAGAGTCCAAAGAAACTGTACAAAAGACCAACAAAACCAAGAGCTGGTTCTTTGCAAGGATAAACAAGATATGAACCTCTAGCCATATTCAACAAGAAGCAAAGGGAGATTACCCAATAAACAAAATCAGAAATGAAAGAGGTGAAATAACAACAGATCTCACAGAAACACAAAGGATAGTTTAAAAATATTACAAACTACTTTATTCCAAGAAACTGGACAACTGCAGGAAATGGACATATTCCTAGAAAAAATATAACATTCCAAAACACAATCAGGAAGAATCTAAACAGCTCAATAGGCTAATAACTATGGAAGAACTTGAAGCAGTAATCCAAAAGCTTCCAGCAAACAAAAGTCCGGAGCCAGACAGCTTCACAGAAGAGTTTTACCAAACATTCAAGGAAGAACTAAAACCTACCCTCTTCAGACTATTCAAAAAAATTTCAAGAGGAAAGAATACTTCCAAGCTCCTTCTATGAAGCCAGCATCATCCTAATACCAAAACCAGATAAAGACATCACAATGAAAGAGAACTACAGGCTAATATCCCTAATGAAGATAGATGTCATAATCCTCAACAAAATTCTAGCAAATCAGATCCAGCAGTACATCAGAAAGATCATACACCATGACCAAGTAGGATTTATCCCAGGAATGCAATGATGGTGCAATATCCGCAAATCAATAAATATGATGCATCACATAAATTGAGAGATAGAAAGCACATAGTCATATAAATTATGGAGAAAAAGCATTTGATAAAGTCCAACAACTTTTCTTGATAAAAACTCTCAACAAGGTGAGAATAGAAGGATCAAATCTCAACATAATAAAATTTATATATGATAACATCATACTCAGTAGGCATATACTTAAACCATTTCCCCTAAGAACAGGCACTAGACAGGGATGCCTACTCTCACCATTCCTGTCTGACAGAGTACTGGAAGTATTAGCAATTGCAATCAGACAAGAAGAAGAAACAATAAAAGGCATCCAAATTGGAAAAGAAGAAGTAAAGCTGTCCTTATTCACAAATAACTTGATATTGTACATATAAAACCCAAAAAACTTCATAAAAAAAACTAACAGACTTAATAAATGTATTCGGCAATGTAGCAGGATACAAAATTAATGCCAAGAAATTTATGGCATTTCTATACACCAACAGTTTACTTACAGGAAGAGAGATTAAAAAAGCAATCCCATTTGCCATCACACCAAAAAAATTAAGATACCTAGGAATAAACTTAACAAGGAGGTAAAAGACCTATACGCGGAAAACTACATGACACTGAAAAAAGAGATAGAGCCAAAACTGGTTTGGCTCAGTGGATAGATCATTGGCCTGTGGACTGAAAGGTCCCATGTTTGATTCTGGTCAAGGGCATGTGCCTTGTTTGTGGGCACATGCTCAGTCGGGAGTGTGCAGGGGGAAGCTGACTGATCTTTCCAACTCTCTATTTGTCTCCCTTCCTCTCTGTAAAAAATTGATAAATTTTTATAAAAGAGAGAGAGAGAGAGAGAGAGAGAGAGAGAGAGAGAGAGAGAGAGAGAGAAAGAGATAAACAGATGGAAGACCATACCATGTTTATGGATCTGTAGAATCAACATCATTAAAATATCCATACTACCCAAAGCAATCTATAGATTCAATACACTCCCCATTAAAATACCAAGGGCAGGACAAACCAAGATGGTGACACAGGGTAGACACCTGAACGCAGCCTACCACAACAATTTTGAATTTAGAACTGGAAAACAGGGGAAATATTGCCCTGAAGTGCCGGAAGGCTGGCTGATAGGAGGTTCTACCCTCTGGGAAGGAAAGACAAGGCACACTGAGCCTCAGGAACTGTGAAGGTGTGGAGAACTGTGCGCATGAAAAGGTGGCCGCAGGGTTTGCTGCTAGCTTGCTTGAGGTGCCCTGAGAGGGCAGGTATGCAGAGAGGGTGGGCCAAGTTCGCTGCTGGCTTACTCCCTTCATGCAGAGAAGGTGGACAGCTAACATGCCTCTGGTTTTCTTGTTCAGGAGGAAAACAGAACCACCCTATTGCTCTGGCAAACAAAACCTACCCTCTTCAGACTATTCAAAAAATTTCAAGAGGAGTCTTGGGGTGGCACAGACAAGCTTTGGTTCCCTGTCAGTCTCAGAGAGGCCTGACTGTCAGACAGCAGGCAGATATCTCTTGGAGGTGTTTAAAGCCAGTGCCCATTACTGCGGGACTCAGGGGGGAGCTGACGGGAAACCAAAGCTTATCTTATCCACCCCGAGACTCTGCCCCATCCAAGTTGAGCACAGAAGCCCTCCTGGAGGCTGGCTTTCTCATTCGCTGCAAACAGGACTTTCCTAGGGAGAGACTGATGGAAATCCAAAGCTTCTCTGCACCTATACAAAAAAGGTGTGCGTGCCTGTAACCAATCTTGTGGGACTCACCAAGAATAGGACTTTCCTAAGGCAAGACTGACAGGGAACCAAAGCTTGTCTGCGCCACCCCAAGACTCCACCCCATCCAAGTGGATTACAGAAGCCCTCCTAGCTGAGACACTGCTGACCCTCACATCCAATTGGCTTGGAGATCAATGCTTCCCAGTGATACTAACAACAAACAACGCTTAACAACAAGACTGCACACACAGCCAAACCAGAATTATATGAATTGCTGAAGGGGGTTCTTTAGGAAGAAGAAGATACAGATAAAAAATATGAACAACAAATACATAACTACCAACAAGTGAATATAAAAACCAAGGAAATTAAAAAATCTGATGAACAATATTAACTGGTGAATATAATAGAATCAGAGGAATGGAAGAGGAGTGGACTGACGACTCTCAGTGAAAAGGAGAGTGCGTGGCGTGGGAAGAGACTGAACAAAAATTGTTCACCTATGGATGAGGACAACGGGGGTGGAGAAAGGGCAGAGGGTGGGGTGGGAACCTGGTGGAGGGGAGCATTGGGGGGGGGGAAGAGGAACACATTTGTAATTAACTGAACAATAAAGATTTATTATTAAAAAAAAAGTACCAAGGGCATATTTCACAGACCTAGAAAGGAGTCTCCAAAAATTTATCTAGAATAAAAAACAGACCCTGAATAGCCACAGCAATTCTGAGAAAGAAGAATAAAGTAGGAGGGATCTTAATACCAGATTTCAAGTTGTATTACAAAGCCACTGTTCTCAAAACAGCCTGGTACTGGCACAAGAACAGACATATAGACCAATGGAATGGTATAAAGAATCCATATATTGACCCAATTCACTATGCTCAATTAATATTTGACAAAGGAGGCATGAACATACAATGTTGCCAGACAGTCTCTTCAATAAATGGTGTCAGGAAAATTGGACAGATACATGCAAAAAAATGAAACTAGATCACCAACTTAAACCATACACAAAAATAAACTCATAGTGGATACAGGAGTTAAACATAAGATGGGAAACCACAAAAATACTAGAGGAATCCACAGGCAGCAAACTCTCAGACATATGCCAAAATAACTTCTTCACTGATACTGCTCTAGGGCATTGGGGGCTGTAGAAAAAATAAACAAATGGGACTACATAAAAACAAAAAGTATTTTTCTCAGCAAAAGAAAACATCAACAAAACAAGAAAGCCCACTGTATGGGAGAACATATTTGCAAATACTATCACTGATAAAGGTTTAATCTTCAACATCTGCAGGCAACTTTTGCAATTTAATAAAAGAAAGATAAATGATCCAATAATCAAATGGGAAATTGACCTAAATAGAATCTTTTAGAAAGAAGACAGAAGGAAGGCTAAGAGACTCAAGAAAACATGCTCAAAGTCACTAATTATCCAAGAGATACAAATCAAAATAATAATTCAGCACTATCTCACACCTGTCAGAATGGCTATCATCAACTAATCAACAAACAATAAGTGTTAGCAAGAATGTGAAGAAAAGGAACCCACATGCACTGCTGGTGGGAATGCAGACTGGTGCAGCCACTGTAGGATACAATATGGTGTTTCCTCAGTAAACTGAAAATGGCACTCCTATTTGACCCAGTAATCCTACTCCTAGGAATATATACAAAGAATCTGGAAACACCAATCAGAAAGGATATATGCACCCCTATGTTCATAGCAGCACTATTTACAATAGTTAAGATTTGAAATCAGCCTAGGTGCCTGTCAGCGGATGAATAGATCAGAAAACTATGATACAGTGTTTCCCCGAAAATAAGACATCCTCCTAAAATAAGACCTACTTACAGGATTCCTTCTGAGTGAAATATAAGGCATCCCCCCGAAAATAAGGCACTCCCTAGGCTAAACATGAGAGATTTGGTCCACTGATTCTGAAAGAAATGGAGTCACAAGAAATTCACCAGGAAATTCAGGAATTCGATTGTTATGATAATGTTCCAGAAGATGATGATATTATTGTCATTGAATAAATGAGTAAATTCTTGATACTGTAGGATTCACAGTTTGTCTGGTTTGTGTTGACAACTACCATACTACTGTACCGTATACAGGTAATAAATTTCCTTTATTTTTATTTAACAATAAATGTGTACGGTATTCTTCTTCATGGAAAAATAAGACATCTCCTGAAAATAAGACCTAGCGCATATTTGGGAGCAAAAATTAATATAAGACACTGTCTTATTTTCAGTGAAACAGGGTAGCTCTACACAATGGAATACTATGCTGCCATATAGAAGAACTAATTCTTACCATTTGCAGCAACCTGACTGGAACTGGAGAATATTATGCTAAGTGAAATAAGCCAGTCAATGAAAGAAAAATACCACATGATCTCACTCATTTATGGATAGTAAAGAACTTCATAAACTGATGAGAAAAATGATAGATTCAGAGGCAGTGAAGCATCAAGCAGACTGTCAAATTACAGCAGGACATTTAGGAAGAGGTGGGGGAGATAAGAGATCAACCAAAGGACTTGTATGCATGCATATAAGCATAACCATTGGACGCAAAACACTGGGGGGTGAGGGCATGTATGGGAGTGTGTGGGGGGCAATGGTAAGATATGTACACATAATACCTTAATTAAAAATGAAAAAATATAATCCATTGACAGCTCTAGACATATTAGCCAAAGAGAAAAATCAATCAATCAATTTGGCCTTCAATGAAACACTAGACCAAAAGAATATAATTGGCATTTACAGAACCTTTCATCCCAGAACATCAGACTATACATTCTTTTCTTTTTTGTAATAAATATTTATTGTTCAGATTATTTCAAATGTTCCTCTTTTCCCCACTCCATTGCTTCTCTCCACCAGGTTCCCACCGCACCATCTGCCCTTTCCCCACCCCCCATTGTCCTCATCAATAGGTGCACAGTTTTTGTTCAGTCTCTTCCCGCACCCCCCACTCTCCTTTTCACTGAGAGTTGTCAGTCCACTCCCCTTCCATTCCTGTGATTCTATTATATTCACCAGTTAATATTGTTCATCAGATTTTTTAATTTCCTTGGTTTTAAGATTCACTTGTTGGTAGTTATGTATTTGTTGTTCATAATTTTTATCTTTATCTTCTTCTTCTTCCTAAAGAACCCCCTTCCGCAATTCATATATCGAATAATTCTGGTTTGGCGGTGATGAACTCCTTTAGTTTTTTTTTTTTTTTTTTTAATTTGTGAAGCTCTTTATCTGGCCTCAATTCTGAGTGATAGCTATGCTGGGTAGAGTTATTTTGGCTGTAGGTTCTTGCTATTCATTACCCTGAATATTTCTTGTCATTCCTGTCTGGCCTGCATGGTTTCTGTTGAGAAATCAGCTGACAATCATATGGCTCCTCCTTTATAGGTAACTACCTGCTTTTCTCTTGCTGCTTTTAATATTCTCTTTGTCTTTTGCTCTTGGAATTTTAATTATGATGTGTCTTGGTGTGGTCCTCTTTGGATTCCTTTTGTTTGGGGTTCTATGCGCTTCCTGGACTTGTAAATCTAATTCTTTCACCAGGTGGGGAAGGTTTTCTGTCACTATTTCTTTCAATATGTTTTTGGTATCTTGCTCTCTGTCATCTTCTGGGACCCCTATAATTCTGATGTTGGTTTGCTTGAAGTTGTCCCAGAGGTTTCTTACACTATCTTGAACTTTATGGATTATCTTATCTTCTTGCTTCTGTGAAGGAATGTCCTCTGGCTCTTTGTGTTCCAAATCTTTGTCTTGATTTTTGCAATCTTCCATTCTGTTTTTAGGACTCTGTATAATATTGTTTTTTTATTTCAGACAATGCTTTCTTTATTTCTAGTTGATCCCTTTTCATATACTGAAAGGTCTCATATTTCTTAAAAATAGATTTACATTTGGTTATTGCATTGATTCTTCTTAATGATTTAGTGCCTAAATATAGTATTATATTTGATTTGTCATTTGTTGT